GCCGGAGCCGGTGACACGGCGCCTGGAGCCCCCCAGGACAGCAGGGACAGGGACTGACAGGGATGGCACCTGTGCCCAAAATCCCTCTCCCCGCCCCATCAGACTGCTGCATCAGCCCGTCCCCAAGCACCACCAGCTTGCGTCCCCACATGCCAGGCAGCTCTGGATACCTTGAGCCCATCTTTCGCCCCCTCCTGCAGGTAAGGGATGATGGAGTTGTTCCACAGGTCGATGAACCAGGTCCGGAAATCATCGATTCCAACGGGGCAGGACAGGAAGAAGCAGGGACCTACGGGGGGCAGAAAGCAGAGAGTGAAAACGGGAGCGGGTCCCCCTGCCCCAGTCGCTGGCCCCGGGGCAGCACAGCAGGGTGCCCTGGGCTCGACCACCTCCTGGGAGCAGAGCCTGGGCAGCGTCCGCCTGACACACGCGGGCAGGAAGCACGTTCCCAGGCAAGGAATGGGACACCCACGTTCGACCTAGCCACCCCCAAAAAGCACGGCGAGGCAAAAGGAAACCTGCCTGAAAACACGGCTCCTCCACGCCCAAGGAAGGGTGCCAGGCAGACAGGCAACCTCGGCTGACACCACCGTGACGCCCTCCCACGGGGCACGGGAACAAATGCCACCCAGGGAAGGACAACACTGGTGCCCATCACCCACCCTCGGTTGTGTGGGACTGGGGGACACGGGGTGGCGCAGCGGCTCCCCAAGCTCTTTGGGAGGGTTTTTGCCCCAATCTTTGGGGGCTCCCACCAGCGTGAGGTAGAGGAGGGAGGTGTGTGGCAAGGCCATACCGATGAGGAAGTCGGAGGTGCTGTGTTTCTCCAGGAAGGTGTGCAAGTGGTACCAGAGCTTGGGCACCCAGTCCAGCACACGCAGCAGCTCCTCCTTGTTGGCGTTGATGTCCGTGTCCGACTCCAGCAGCTTCCGCCGCAGGTAGCGCACCAGGAAGCCGTTGGCCGGCTCCACGTTGTTGGAGAAGGTCAGCATCCTGGGGGAAAGACACGGGTGTTCAGGGCTGGGTCTCCACACAAGCTGCCCTGCTCCCCAGCACCCTCAGGGGACCTCCTAGCATCCCCCACACTGCATGTGCCCAAGGTTGGGGCATTCCTTGTGGGACTTGGGGCTCGGTCCTTATCAGGGTCTCCAAGAACAGGACGTGTCCCCAGGATTGCCCAGGGGCAGGGGTGATGGCCTGTACCCCCGCAACCCCACAGGGATGGTCCCCAGGGACGCACAAATCCCACCTGAAGCTGAGATGGAGGCCATGGTTTGGGGTCATCTTCACAGGCTGGTTGGTGGTCCCAATGACATAGGGGCTGAGTGAGTGACAGAGAGAGACAGCACCCATGAGACAAAGCACCCTGCACCACCCCAGCCCGTGGCAGAGCTGATCCAAGCACAACAGACACATGCAGCTGCGCAGCCCCATCTCCACGAGCCCAGGGACCTCGCCGAGAGCAGCGGGGAGCACGCGTGTGCCCGGGAGACTGCGCCGGAGGAGGGGGCCGTGGGGCTCTCACCATTTGTGGTACTTGCAGGTGAGCGCGGCGGG